CCAGTGGTATCTAGAACCGCACTGCAAACCAACAGGTCCTCTTGTCACGGTGTGCGTTTAACACCTGGGCCTCAATGGACAAATTCATGGACCTACTTCCCCGAGATTCCCGTGCAGAGTTCAAAGCTCTCCACGAAGAGGGGAGAGCGATTTCCAGGGCGGTTCTCCAGGTGGCTCTAGATGTGGTGGACGCTGCTGCCCAAGTAATGGCCTCTGGGGTGGTCTTATGCCGCAGTTCCTGGCTCCGGGGTTCTGGGGTTAACCCAGAGCTCCAGAACACCATACAAGATCTCCCTTTTGAAAGCCCCTCGCTCTTTTCTGAGCAACTGATCAGAGGCTTCATGGCCTAAAAGACACCTGTGTTACCCTAAAATCATTGGGCATGCACACCGCAGCTACCCAGAGGTGCTCCTTCCCCATTAGGAATATTCCTAGAGCACCTCCCCAGGGTCCAGATACTTACCTCTCCCGCCATAGGAGCACAAGCGGTAACGGCAGGAACAATAGGTGCCCTCCTCATCCGACCCCAGATCCCAACCAAGGGTCCCCCAACAAACCCTCCGGTCCACGTCAGGGATTTTGATGGGACCTACGAGGGCAACCTTCCAGTCTCCCCATTTCTCTTCTGGGACCATTTATCCCACTTTATCCCAGCCTGGAGGTCTGTCACTTCTGACCACTGGGTGCTTGAGATAGTGGAAAGGGGCTATGTAATCCCTCTGCAGATGTCCAGGGTGGGAACCTGTGCCTACACTGATTCTGTAGCATGTTTTTACACTCAGTTGCATGTGTTTTTTTAAAGAGTTCTAATGCAAAAAGCTAAAAGATCCTTTCCGATTTCTCACTTATTAATATATATGTCTCACTATTAAACGTACATATGCTATTTGCAATTCTATACTACAGATTGAACCTCTCTCATCAGAGACTCTGTGGTCTGCCAACATCCGTGGTCCAGCAGGACTACAGATGTTGCTAGACCAGAGAGCCCTGGCTGCAGAGGTTGAGAGCAGCTGGGAGTGGAGCTGATCTGGTCAGCAGCAACCTGCAGAACCAATGACCTGACGGTAGAGAACCCTGGGAGAGACTGCTGCCCCACTCAGAGGAGGACTGGGGAACCCTGGGAGTGGCTGCTACCCAACGCAGGGCTGGGGAACCCCCGAAGCAGCTACCGCCTTGCGTATGGCACCCCAGGAGCAGCTGCTGTCTTGCATGATGCCTGGTGGCTGGAGGCAGGGAACCCTAGGAGCAGCTGCCATTCCACGTGGTGTTGGGGGCTAGGGAACCCTGGGAGCAGAGCCCCGCGAACAGGTGAGGGGCAGCAGAACCAGGCAGGTGGGCTGGAGGAAGTAAGGCCTCCAGGTTCTCCTGGGGCAGCAGCCAGGAGGGGAGCCCTGGGAAAGCCCAGGTGCCAAACCTCCCCTGGCCTGGCAAATTCCTTGTTCGGGACCACTCAGACCAGGGAGGTTCAACCTGTATACAAATAACTGTAATTATGGTTGTATTTCCATTGTAGGCTACTGTCTTTTGGAATTATAACCTCTTCCAAAATCCTTAGTGGTATATCTAACTATATTACAGTTGATCAGCCATAAAAATATATATGGATAGCATTTTTCTGAATATGACTGGATGTGTTCTATCCGTTTCAGTAACATTTTGTTGCAGATATTTTAAGTGTCTAATTTTTGACATCATTATCTGCCAGAGTATTCAGGAAGAATAGTATAGGACAATAAAGATGATGTTTTGTAAGTAAAACATTGTATAATTTTAAAGAATGTTAAAATTACAGGAGTATTATTTTAAGACAAGAGTATAACATATAGAATATAAGTTTAATGTTAGTTCTTCATATTAAATTCCAGTTATAGTTAATGAAAAAATTGCTGAGTAAAGGCAGACTTTCAATAGGATATGAGGTATTATGTAATATTTGGTGTGCATGTTCCCAAATTCATTCAATACACTGTTTTCTCCTATTTAAGTGTTTTAAAAATCAGTTTCCTGACTACCAGCTCTGTCTGCAGTGTCCTACTCTTACTGCAACATTTAATGAGAGCAGAAAACAGAAGTTGTTTTCTTTTTTCTGAATATCTTTTACTTTTGTGTCTTCTTTGTAATTTATATCTTTTTTATGCTGAGGGCTAGTGACAAGGTCAACTGGTATTAAGTTTTTGGTAATGTCTTTTGTCTTTCTGGTTTGAATTTTCTTAGAAAAAGAATTAACAAAGAATGTCAGTAAAAGGAAAGCTATATATTGAAAAGAAAGGTTTACATCTCATAATAATCCCAGCAGACAAAAGCTGAGGAGTTAAAGAGAATTGTCTGTTCATCAGAGTATAGCACTACAACTACCAACATAATCAAAACACCGTAAAAAATAGTGCATCATTTTGTGTAGGAAACTGAACTCTTAAAATCAGCTTTAACCCCATAACACCCAACCCAACTTTTGTTGATTCTGAGTCACCTGAGCCTTTGTCATGGTTTTTCAAGACGCAGTATGCACTGTTATCAGAAATAAAAGTAGATGCATTGTGTGTTAGTGGAGAAACTAGTGTTGAAGTAACTTTAAATGATACTGTTAACGTCTTGTAACCCATATTAAATCCATTGTTTCTAAGACTATAACATTTCATGACTTGTTCAATCTAGTTGAAAAAGTGTGATGGGCAGAGGATAGATTGTGGAGTAAGTGCAGTTATTGCTGTAAAATGTGACAAAGATATATTGAGACACAACTACTATGAATTTTACTGATTCTAGATCAGATTTTTCTGATTTTGAAACTATATTTTTACTTCTAAACTGCCCTCCCTATGTATTAACGTAGGATGTGAAAGTTAGGTTGAGCTCTTTTAAGGCTCATGTGCACACATCTTTATCATAATAAAGATTTTGCAATAAAAACTTGTTTCACAATTCTATTGATATATGAACCAGAAAAAAAATCCATCTTTTTCTCTGAGCTGAAATGACTGCAGGAATAAATGTTTTTAAAAGCATATATATTTTGGCAACATATGAGCAGCTTTGACTAACAGATTGTGAGTCTATAAGTAGATACCATTTTTATACAAAAAAGATTTCTGACCATAGTAGACTCTAATTTATAGGTTCATTTACTTTTCCTCCCCACAGTACATTCCTTACTATTAAAAAAAAAAAAAAAAACGTTGCCAACAGTCACAATGCCATCTGTGATATTTAAGCCTTGTCCATAGAAAAGCTTAAACAGATTAATCAAATGTGTAGTTTTAACTGATTTAGCTAAATTAGTACAAGTTTGTTCATAGACACTCTAATTTTGGTTTTAAGAATGGTAAATAGCAGTTTAGTTTGATCCCTTCATTTCATGTTTAAGATAAAGCAATATATAAGCTACCCTTAAGAGGAAAAAATAGCATTTGCAAACCAACTAGCAATGGTTTAACTAAATCCAATTGAAATACCCTTATCATTAAACTAGTGCAAATTTATATGTAGATTTAACGGTAGTTCAAATTAGGAGCTTTAATTCGAACTACCTAGTTCATGTAGCCACCGGCAGGTAGTTCGAACTACGGGGCATTTAAAAATTGCGGCGCCAGGGAACATGCAAATAAAGCCCGGGATATTTAAATCCCGGGCTTCATTTGCAAGTTCGAATGCCTACATTAGCCACCCTACTTTGAACTAGTTCAAAATAGGGTGGCAGTGTAGACATACCTAAAGGTGCTTCAAGACTGTTTGTTATTTTTTCAGTTAGGGTACATCTAGACTACGTTCTTTTTTTGAAAGGAGATATGCAAATTTGGTGCTAATTCATATATCTTCCAATCGCTTTTTCAAAAGCTTTTTTTTCGAGAAAGAAAGCAGTTTAGATGTGGTTCTTTCGAAAAAACTCTCTTTTTCGAAAGAACCCTTCTTCCTGAAAAAATGAGGTGTGCAGGGTTCTTTCGAAAAAGAGAGTTTTTTCGAAAGAACCACATCTAAACTGCTTTCTTTCTCGAAAAAAAAGCTTTTGAAAAAGCGATTGGAAGATATATGAATTAGCACCAAATTTGCATATCTCCTTTCAAAAAAAGAATGTAGTCTAGATGTACGCTTACAGACTAACATGGCTCCCCTTCTGAAACTCTTTCACATATGAGGAGTAATTCTATATCAGTCCTTGTACTTGGCACACCTTTGATAGAATTTTTTGAGGTAGTGAGGTACAAGAGGATCTACAGAGCTACTTGATCTGAGTGCAGCAGATATTTCAGAGTATATGCATGCTTACAGAGTATATGCTTTGTATCTTTTTAAGGTCTAGAAAGCAATTTGAGTTACTAGAGAAGGGAAATGGAAATAAATAGTGTAAGGGCAGAGAAAATTGAGAGGGGAAAAAAAAGTAAAACGTAGATTTTCTTCTTCTTTGAGGGTCCCCATGGGTGCTCCCCTCAGGTGTGTCAGTGCTGCTGCACACCAGATTGGGCAATCTCCCGGCTGCTGGCACGTGCCCCTGTATTCTGCAATCACTACATTTGATAGTTGAGCACTCGCTGGTGGCCGTACCCTTAGTTCTTTCTTAACCACTGCCAGTAACCTTCCCTTATTTCTCCCGAATCATGGCCCCTTGTCAATCCTATGCAAGAGGTGCTATCTCAAGGTGAGTTACTGAAAAGTAACAGAAGAGTTCAAATAATCAGAACTACATTTTTTTTTTAAAAGAGTAAAATCTATGAAGCGAAAAGAAAACCAAAGAGAAAATGGGTAGACTAGCCTGAGCCACCTAATGTACTATGCTGAAATGTTATGTCATCCAAAATACTATAAGGCACTATAACGTTAAAAGGAAAACAGTAGCAATTAGTCTGAGTACCTTGGATAGCTAAATGAATAGTTAGTAAAATTATATCTGTCCCTGACATGACCGTATTTCAAAACTTATTTCAGCAATACCACTCCCAATGTCTGTTTCAATGAGCAGTGGTACCTTTTTTTATTAACATCAATTTCTGTTTTGTTTTTAGTTTGACTCAACTTGCACCTCTGTTTTCATGTGTGTCTTTGGAAAAGCTTAACATCAGCAACAACTGCTTATCAGGTGAGTAGGTAAAATTAATGAAAACAATACTTTTTAGGAAAACATGCAATCAGCATATTATAAACTTATGTTTTTATTAAAATGTATAGAAATTAGGTCTTAAAATGACTGGAACTATTTTATTATGTTACAACCATCATCAGTGAAGTATCTTGGCACTTTTCAGTTTTATACTAAGTGATGTTGCTAACAACTGTCACATGTGATACGTTCTCTCTCTGCCCTCCTCTCCCCAGGGGAAGAATTGTGTTTCTTTCTTTTTTCCTTTTTTTTAACGCACATAAGGGTTGCATCTTGCATTTGTAATAAAAAGTTGTAAACTTTGTGAGTTCATTGTATCATCTCAGATGAGCGAGTCCCCCTAACTGCTCCGAGACATCTCTGTCTTCCACATAGAAGAGCTTTACACCTATGGTAGTAAGATTCATTATGCTTCAGGAATAGAGTTTTTAATCAAACTTCATCACAAAGCTTCTGGTGATCTTTGAGATATGCTGGGCACAGGCTACTGTGCTCTTGAAAGATAAGGACCTTAAATTTGGTTCATTATTCTATGGGAAGTCAATGTATGCACCAAAGGACATGTTTGACATGTACACAGTAGTTCATGTTGCTGAGGACATACATGATGGAATGTTGTACTAGTTGGAGTTTCCTGAGGGCTGGTGGCTTGCATTGCTTTAGTCCAGATGGGAGGTGACAGTCTGTTAATGATACTAGTTTATTATAATTGTTTGCTTTTACACGTGGATTCACCTTAATTACTCAACTTTCTATTTACCTTTTCTTCCCTAATGTAATATAGATCTTGACAGTGTCATCAGATGGTTTAGTGGATGTCATAAATTAAGTGAGTTATCACTCAGTGGAAATCCAGTTCTCCAAGAAAAAAATTGGAGGTAAGATAAACAAGTAATTGGCCCTTACAATATATCCATTGCTCAACAAAACCTAAAACAACCAAAGTTCATACATAAGCACATGGTAAATAAATTGAACTATATAAGTTAGTTAAACAGTAATTTTATAAAAAATCTGGAGACTGCAATCAACACTATACATTTTGTTATTCTGAATATAGCTGATAATGTTTTAAATCTAAATGCTATAAATATATCTCCACTCAACAAATGGCCAAAAATATCCCTCCAACTCTCTTGCATGCTCTGGAAGTTACGGGTTAGTGTACATTTCTGCATCTAGATTGGCAGTGTTAGCAAATGCACGTAGCTAAGACCTTCCAGAAATGTGCACCTAGGCCACACTCATACTGGGTAAGGGAGGTTGGATAAGGATAGGGAGTTTACTTCAAGCAGCAAAAGAGCTTAGCCCCTTGGCTTGTGCTTGGGAATGGATGTGTGTGTGTGTGTGTGTATGTGTGTGTGTTCTGTTTTGTT